AGATAGATAGATAGATAGATAGATAGATAGAATAACAGAGTTGGAAGGGACCTTGGAGGTCTTCTAGTCCAACCCTCTGCCTAGGCACAGAAACCCTTTCAGTCAAATGACTATCCAACATCTTCTTAAAGACTTCCAGTGTTGGGGCATTCACAACTTCTGGAGGCAACTTCTGTTCCACTGATTAATTGTTCTGTCAGGAAATTTCTCCTCAGTTCTAAGTTGCTCCTCTCCTTGATTAGTTTCCACCCATTGAGACTGGGATGAGTCTCCCTACACTACACACACACACACACACACACACACACACACACACACACACACATATACACAGACACACAGACACACCCCTCAGCTGCTTATTGCACACACTTCCAAGAGATAATTGGGAACAGATGCTAGTGGGATCGGCGTATGGTAAGAAAAGGGGGCTGGGGACTCCGAAGCCCAACAGCATTTCGGCTGGGTGTTTCAGAAGGCTATGCCACCCGGGAACCAGGAAGGAGGTCAGCTCAGGGGCAGCCTCGATTTGGTGCTGTTAAACAGAAAAGGATTGAAGACAGAAAGGGGAGGACAAGTGGGGAGGGGGCAGCCCTGGCCTAAAACACTCCAGAGATCCCCACAGACCCCTTTCTGCAGCCGCCTTCCAGCTTTCCCGGAATGCAAGTAGTCGTTTTGGGGGGGGGAGAAATCTGGTAGATCCAATTCCAGACACAGCAGTGAATCTAATATAGAATCAGGGATGTATGCAGGATGCTAATTGTACTTCCCACATTCCTACATGCCAATCACCTAAAGGGCTGTGCCTAACCGAGAAAGGAACTGAGGGAGTTAAGGAAATAGGACCAGGGAGCAGACAGCAATGAGTATATTAACCTGCCTTCCCAAAGAAGGAAATTGTTGAAGGAAGTTGTCAGTTTGGACCAGAGGTGGGTTCCTACCTGTTCGCACCTATTCGATAGAACCGGTTCGTCAAATCTACCGAACAGGTTAGAAGAGATTCCACCAATGGACCCAGAAAGCAGGCCATACCTACGGAAGAGATTCCAAAAAATTTTGAAACCCACTACTGGTTTGGACCCAGAGCCACAGGATTGGCTTTGCAAAGCATCTCTCCGGGCTGAAGGGAACGGCCTGCTCCCTTTATTTTTATTTTATTTCTTTCTTTAGTTTGTCACTCATGTACAAGGAAACAGGAATAAGAATAAACATGAATAAAAACACGGGAAATGGGTACAAATAAATGGGGACAGTACGACAGGGACGTTAGGCACGCTGCTGCGCTTATGCACGCCCCTACAAAAACTCCTGTTGGCAGCGGTAGGGTGTGTGCCTGGGTTCCCCCCCCCCATCCCAAACAAAACGCTCCCACACATCAGCGCAAACCCTCCGCAGAGGTAGGTCCATTCATTCTCGGCAGGAGCAAGGCCTGGAAAATGCCCCACGTGGTTTGCTTCGCATGTGCGAACGCTTGCTAGCGCAGGCAAAAAAAGAAAAGGCAGAAAGAGAGCTATTTTAAGATCGAAGAAAGATGATCATCAGATAGGCTCTCCGTTCAAATTCCAGGCACAGGAAATGCAAAAAAAAAGGGTAACTGTCATTTAAAAAAAAAAAGGAAACAGGGGGGGGGGGAAGAAAGGATGATTTTCTCCTCTTTCCGAGCCACCGTTCGCTTCGTTGCATTTTCATTATAGAAAATATTTCGTACGGCTTACCAGGAATCAGCAGTCAACCCCCAATGTCCAATCTCAGATGGAGCCCAGGAATAATAATAGAATCCTTTCATCACCTGAGCGCATCTGTAATTCCACCTACAAAGGGAATTTCCCGGCCTCAGTTTTTCATCATCCCTGCCTGTAGTATGGGTATAAACTTAATAGTATCCCCAAGGATGACTAGAACAAGGTGTATATGCTGCTGTGAACACTTTAAAGCCCTTAGGTAAGCCCTAAATAAATCCGGTTTAGAGAGCATGTGCTTCCCTTCCCAGAATGCTCCTTTTCTCAAATCCCCAGAGATCAGGAATAGATTGCAGTTGCTGGCTAAATTCACTTGGCACATAAGGATAAATAGAACCACAGGTGGAAGAGACGGCTTGAGTTAAATCTCAGCCTTCACCTGGGGTAGGCAACCCATGGCTCCGGAGCTGCATGTGGCTCTTTCATCTCTCTACTGCGGCTCCCTGTCGCTGGTCGGCGCCACAATTTTGAGAGGAGCTTCTGGTTGAGAGGAGGGGGAAGCAGGGCATGCCAGGAGACCAGTGGTGGGTTTCAAAAAAATTTCGAACCTACTCTGTGGGTGTGGCCTCCTTTGTGGGAGTGGCTTGCCGGCCATGTGTTTTCTCTCTCTCTCTCTCTCTTTCCTTCCTTTTGTCTCTCTGTCCCTTTTTCCTTTCATCTCTCTCTCACTTTTTGTTTCTTTCTTTCTTTCTTTCTTCCTTTCTTTCTCTTTCTCTCTCTGTGTGAGTCTGTCTGTCTGTCTGTCTGGTGGGTTTCAAAAAAATTTGGAACCTCTTCTGTAGGTGTGGCCTGCTTTCTGGGTCCACTGGTGAAACCTCTTCTAACCAGTTCGGTAGATTTGACGAATCGGTTCTACCGAACTGGTGCGAACTGGTAGGGACCCACCTCTGCAGGAGACTCTATGCTGGAGGAACCCTACTTCCGGTCGGCTCCAGAATTGAACCAGGGGTGTGTGTGTGTTCTGGTTAGGATCTTTGTGGCTCTTTGAGTGTTTAAGATTGCCGACCCCTGGCCTTGACCTTGACTGATCTTGGAAAGTTAAGGAAAATCAAACCTAATACTTGAAAGGGGAGCCACCAGGAGATCCAGCAGCTGCCCATTAAACAGAGGAGTCCAAATACATTCCACCAGAAGGACGTAGCAGCACTTCATCTGGGGCATGGACTTCTCCATCCTTAGGCGATTCACAGAGGAGATGCGCCTATAGTTGTATTAATTAGGCAAGCAAAGCAGCAACCCGAACTGGCTTTGCAGGTAATTGAGCCTCTGCTTTCTCACACAGGATACCCGAAGTAAAGGAGGGGGCGAAATGCAGATGCATGCAAATGGAGGGGAAGCAAGCAACCCCTCCCAGGGTCAGGAAATCGCCCTGCTGAGCCAGGCAGTTGTTGCATCAGGTTGTTGTGAATCCGATTCTCCCCGGAGCTCATAGGGAATCTATTCTTTCTTTCTTTTTTTTCTTGCTCTCCTTTCCCAGCGAAGCGGGTCAGAGAAGAGTCTCCCAGCTCCAGTGCCCCAAATAAATAATGCAACTTCCACACTTTGCAGCGCACAGAGTCCGGCGCTAGGAACTACCGTAGGGAGCGGAAGCCTGGCGGCTGGGGGGGCGGCGGTGGGGGGGGGGACGACACACAGCGGATTTCAACAAAAGAGCCATTGAGGCAGAAGCAAGTCAAAAAGGTAGCGAGGTGGAAGGATGGATTCTCCGCTCAACGGGGTATTAAGATTTGAGCCAAACACCCCCCTCCCTCCACTGTGTTGCTGCAATATCCACAAGAAAAAAAATTGGTTAGAGAATTATAGCTGTCAACTTATACCCATTTTTTGGAACATTATATTTACTCACATACTTAATCAGCTTCTCACCCACCTAAACTAGGGAGTGACCCTAACAGTTTGAGAACATGCATTTTCTTAACAGGGATGTTATTAGCCACTATTAATCTCAGTACTGGTTTTTTGATATATATATATTGTAAAAAGTGATGCCTATTGCTGGTCCATGACCAATAAAGATATATTCTATTCCCCCTCCTCCCTCCAAGAGATCCGGCAAGGCTGAGGGCAAGCAGCAAAAGCCCCCCCCTCCTCCTTCCCCCATTAATAAGAGTTCCCCCAAGGGCGCTTAAGCCACTAATGGTTGCAAATCCTATACATGCCACCTTTTCTGATTTTTTTCTCTCCCCCCCCCCTCCCCAATGCATTCAATGCAATCGTTCGCTGCCTTTTCGCGACCCAGAGCACACACCCCCCCAAAGTTGCAATCTCGTGCTGGTTAGGGGGATGGGCCGGCCCGGGATTTTAGTTAATAGATTAACTGAGTTGGAAGGGTCATCTAGTCCAACCCCCTGCCCAAGCAAGTTTGTGCGTTCTGCAAATCGGACCGGTTTTTTTTTTTTTAAGGAAGCGGGTCCAGGCGAGGGGATTATACGGCAAGTACCCCAGCTCACACGCCCGCCGGGGGTCTACTCTAACTCTACTCTACTCTACTCTCCTCCCCAACAGCCTTGCAAGCGCAGACCCAGGCCGCCACGCACGCTCTTCGGAAAGCAACGAGTACTGCTTTCTCCTAACATCCCCCTTCCACGCCCCCACCCCTCCACGGATCACGGACTCCCGCGATCCCCGGCTCCGGCGAAGCGGATGATCCCGCTCCGTCCGCGCCAGCCACCGGGGTCGCCTTGCCTGCCGGCCAGCCAGCATCGGCTTGCGGCGGCGGCGAGCGTGCGATGCCATCCCATCCCTTCCACCACCACCCCCACCCCTCGCCCCCGCCCCTCTCCCGCCGCCTCCCGCAGCCCGCAATGAGTGCAGCCTCCCCGGCAGCCAATCCGGAGCCGGGATGGGCGTGGTCAGCCTCTGCCCTGCTGAATGAGCACGAGCTCCCTGGAGGTGGACGGCGACAGTGTGCCAAGTAGCTGGGGAGCCGCTTGGAGGGTCCCGGGCATCGAAGTGAGGGGAAGGGGGGGCGGGAAGAGAGAGAAGGTGCCAAGCCCGGGATTAGTTCTTGGCCTCCGGGCCGCTTTTAGCCCCCCCTTTTTTTTTGCCGGGCTGTCTCCCCCTCCCCCTTTTTTTTCTGCTGCTGCCTCGGTTCACTTTTTTGCTTTGCCCACCCATAAGGAATCAAGGTCAAGACCGAAGCGGGATCTCGGCCCCGCGTTGGGAACTGCAAGGACCGCTGGAATCAATCCACTCAGCACAGCCACCCAGCCAGCCACCCAGCCTGCCGCCGGGCAGTGGAATTCGGGAAGCCAGCCTTTGGGAAGGAGAAGGGCGAGGCGTCCCGGTGGAAGCGGAGGCTCCCGCAGCGAGCCCCGTCCCAGCCCGAGCGCACGCCCTCTCCGACCGGCGCCTTTTCACTCGCCCTCCTTTCCTCCCCACCATGAAGCCGGCGACCTGGCTCCCTTGGACCGTTGCCCTGAGCTACTTTGCGCACGCAGGTACTGTACGGGGCTGTTTGCATGGCTTCTTGTGGCTTTGGGGGGCGATCGGAGAAGTTGGATGTGGGGGGGAGGCAGGCAGCCGGGAAGAGTGGGTGGGGTGACCCCCCCCATTCGGTGGGTTAGAAGAAGCCATGGAGGAGACCCCACACACCCCTTCCTCCTCCCTGGGTTTTGCTGGTTACCTGAAAGTATCCAGCACTGTGCAACTTATTCTAGGAAAGGAAATAGTTGGTAGGGTGTTTTTTTTATGGCTAGGTTGCAAGGACTTTAAAGGAGAGAGGGAGGGAAGGAGGGAGGATCGCAGGGGAGGGTCCGCTGCATGGGAGATGGGGGGGGGCGCAAGAGCCTCCCAAAGGGGAGGGAAACGCTGCCTAAGGCTCCAGAACGGTGCGGTTCAGTGGTTAGAGCCAAAGGAGGCATCGGGGAGGCAGGAGAATCTGGCATCCTGCCTTTTTGGGGAGGGGGGAAGGATGGACCGACCGAGGGTGGGGATCGGATGGAAGAGTGAGTGGGTGGGGGGTTTCATCCGAATTACGCCTGCCAGCCTTGAGGAGTATGCATGTACTGTACGTATGACCTTGAGGAAAACTCGCTCGAGTTACGGCGTGCCTCCCTCCCTCGCGAAGCGTGGAGGGGAGGGAGGACGCGGTGGGCTTTCCGCGCAAGCCACTGCAAGAGAGAGAGAGAGAGAGGAGCTTTTCTCCCGCATCCCGGAGAAAGGGGGTCTTCTCCTCCCTTCTCCCACCCACCCACCCTCCATCCACCCATCTCCCCATAGATGGGAGTTTCAGGATCTCCACAGAAGAGGGTCTTGGGGTAACGGAGGGGGGGCGCAGAATTAGCCTCCTGCAGGTGAGAGGAGAGGCGGGGGGGTCCAACTCAGGTCGCCGTTAAAGAAGAGTGTTGGGGAGGGGGCGTGCATGGGTCAGGGTTGAGCTCGTGGCCTCCCTCCCTCTCGGACGGACTCCCCCTCGCGGTTAACCTTGAGACGCTCCCCTCCAAGGCAGTCGCAGCTCCGGCGCGCCCTTCCCCAGCCGCCGCTGCCAGCCCCCACCCCATCTGTAGTTTTCCCACCGCGTTGGCATTCCGGGGCCGTTTGAAAGCGTTTGCCTGGGGCTTTCCCCCCCCCCCGTTAGAAATGTGGAGGTGGGGCGTGGAGGAGGGTGGGGGGGCTCTGCTGAGACAGCCGGTGAGACCTTCCTCTTTCTTTTGAGGGGAGATTTTGACATTGGAGGACAGTGTCCCATAACTCTTTCCTCCTCCTCCCCCCCCCCACCACTCTGCTTAAAAGGCCTTAAACACACACACACACACCAATTTGAAATCCAAGGCATAAAGATGTGGAGCAACCTACCTAGTTCCCTCTAGATGTGTTGGGATACACACACACACACACCCCACAACCTCCCTGTCCACGTTGCCTTCAGCCTGGGAGTCCCCTGGTCTCCTTAGGGGGCCAAACAATGTTCTTAGCCATTAGCCTCCCCTTACGACCCTTGGGGGGGGGGAAATTAGCCCTTTGTTTGCCATTGCACCACCCCTAGGTGAAGTGCACTCTGCACATGCCCAGATGCCATACTTTTTTATATACTCTTCCGCTGAGCCAAACCAGACCCATGGGGAGGAAGGGGAGGGGACAGCCAGCCTCCCTCGGTATGCCAATTCCTGGTAATTAGTGTGCCTTGACTCGGGATGAGTGAGTCCCGTAGATGGGCTGGATGCAACCTAGGAATAGATCTTGCCTGAGTTGCTCTCCCAGCGGTAGAGGAGAATGCAAATCGTTCCAGCCCTTTTTTTGGCTACGGACCCACAATGGGCTCCTTTGGGGAAAGCTCTCCCTCTCCTCTCGATGGGGAGAATTGCAACTGGGTTAAAGAGAGAACAATAGTGACTCTTGAACTGCAGCCGGAGGGGCCCCGGCGGATGGGTGGGTGTGGGGGTCAGAGAGCTGCCTTCTTCCTCCTATGCAGACAAGGCTGCCTTCTCCCCTTGCCCGCAGCCGGAATGCCAAGGCTGCCCCTGGGCAGGGTCAGCCTGGCAGAGGAGCACAGGGAGGCGCCGGGGCTGGGTGGACGAAGATGCCTCACCTAAGAACAAGAGACCTCCAAAAGGGGCTTGTCCAGTCGCAGTGCAGCCACCACCAAAGGTGCACCTGCTAAACTTATCCCTGTCATGCGGACTGCAACTCTTAAAGGCGCAGCGGCCCTTTTAAGCGGGACAGAGAAAGCAGCAGAATGGAGAGGCGGGCGGGGGCTGGGGGGGAGGGAGAGAAAGCTGAGCGTTGTTTTTTTCCTGTTCCCTAGACTGGGCATCCCGGCAACTCTTGCTGTCAGATTCCTTAGTGACAGGAGAGATGGGAGCGTAGAAAAATGGCCCCCGGGGGGAAGAGTTAAGGGGGTCAGGATGTGTGGGGAGAGGAGGACAGAGTTCACACTTACATGCCTGGCTTCCTCTGGCTGCCCTATGGCTACAAGTTCCTTTTCAGTAACACTAATGGTTGCTGAGTGGCTGTGGTGCTCTTATCCTGGGGTGCCTGCGCCTCGCTGGAACAAGGGGGGCAGAGGGAGGGGGAGAGGCAGCAAAAGGGGGGAGGGCGCGATTCTTTAATGATCATATCTCTTGAGCAACAGCTAGAGGCAGCATCCGGAATATGGGAGCCTAACGGGGGCACCGGTGGGGAGGGGGAGGACAAGGGGAGGGAGAGAAGTTGGATTTCCAAAGGATGTCACCTCTTCGGAGTCCCGCGGTTGCCAAGTGGATTATTTTCCCAGTTGGAGGTGTGCTTTTTTGGACCCATGAAGAGCTCTGTGTCATCCAAAAGCTTGCCTGCGTTAACTCCGTTGTTAAACACGATGCTGTTGATGTGTTTGCCGTACCCGTTTTCCCAGAATTAACTTCAGGTTTGTGCAGGAGCCCGAAAAAGGCCACGAATGAATGAGGTGGTCTGCTTTGGTGGCTGGGATCACCTGCCAGTTGGATCTGTGCCGCAAGATCCACTTTGTCACTCTGGTTCTTCTCTAGTGGTGTTTCTTCAGACTTCTTGCCAGCATCACACACACATACACACACACACACACAGCCGCCGTACTGTGTTCCCATAACACATTAAATCTAATTCCTGGATTAATCCGTTTTCTGAATTTGCACAATAAGTTGAACGACCATCATCGCCCTAAACAGGCTGTGTTCGTGTATCACACTAAGCCAATCAACACCAACGCGTAAACAAATCTAAAGTTTGGGGCGCTGTGCAAACAGAGCACCCCCATTTTTAACGTATATGGTGTGAACGTGGCACTGGTATATTTGGGTCTCTGAATTTTTCTGTTCGGCAAAGATTCGGAAAAATATTCTGGAGCAGGGATTGGTCAAAGGAAGCCTAGTAGGTTATTCTTGGTTGGCCTTGGTGGATTTCTTGAAGTAGCTATAATGATGATCTCAGCTCCACAAATGTAGAGGGTATGCCTACATTCTACCTAAGAAGATCTCATCAACCAGTAATTAGTTCATTTGCTTGGTCTTGTCTTAGCATGTGGTGTGAATCGAGCCACAGTTCATAACTTAATGCGTTAAAGGTAGGTTCAGCCAGATTTGTCTGGGGGGAAAAAAGCCTTGATTAAAATGATCTATAATTTAGCGTAATGGTTTTAATTTAGCCACATTCTCGGCTATATTTTCCCTATCTCACCCGATATATTTTTTTTATGCTTGTTTACTCAGAAGTTTGAATAGGTTTCACAATAAGGCTTACTCGGTGATGGGGCGTGTCCCAGCATTTCTCTGCTGCCCTTCAGAAGTGCTGGGGTTTGCCATTCCAATGCTTGGGAATTCTCATAACTCTAGTCTTGACAATATCATCAGGGCTTGGAGAAACCAGGTTAGGAAAGGTTGATCTGCGGAACTGCGGGCTTCCGGTTACTTTGGCCACTGAATCGGAGAGGGTCAGAATTGTAGGTCAAGGTATCTGTCATGGTGCCAAGACAGAGAATAATGACGTAGGACATCTGCATGCTTTTCGGGGGAGACCTATAACAGAGGACACATTTCCTCTGAGCGGAGCAAAACCCACCCATCCACTATTACGATGCAGCTGTGGAGTTTCTTGCAAGATGCCCTGAAAACATGAGCGGCTGCTCTGGTGTACGCAGAGTTATTTGGGTTCACCCACAATTTTAAAAAAAGGATGCAGTGGCTCAGTGGCCAAGACGCTGAGCTTGTCGATCAAAAGGTCGGCAGTTCGAATCCCTAGCACCGCGTAATGGAGTGAGCTTCCGTTACTTGTCCCAGCTTCTGCCAACGTAGCAGTTTGAAAGCAGGTAAAAATGCAAGTAGAAAAATAGGAGCCACCTTTGGTGGGAAAAGAACAGCGCTCCGTGCGCCTTTGGTGTTTAGTCATACCGGCCACATGACCATGGAGACATCTTCGGACAGCGCTGGCTCTTCAGCTTTGAAACAGAGATGAGCACCACCCTCTAGAGTCGGGAACAGCTAGCATATATGTGCGAGGGGAACCTTTACCATAAAATAGACGGCGAGGAAAGCAGTGGAGTTGGGTTGTCACATAAGCCACGACCACCCAACAGATCAAGTTAAGCCCTAATCCAGCTGTTGTATAATTGCATCTGGTGGATTTTCACCTGAACCGAACAAAATTGCAACATGGACACAAAAGCTATTTCACAAAACCCGGCTCTTTGGGTAAACCTAGAATAAGGCACGTTGGTTCCTCCCCTCTTGTGTTTTATTTTCCCCATACACCTCCCCCCCACCCCCACCTCACCCCCATATCTTCAAGTTCTCCTCAACTGCAAAAGATCTTGTGCAAAGCTGTCGCAGGAAGGGGGCCAAGCCAAATGGCAACCACACAAC